TGTGTTTTGATAGTTTAAGTTTCAGAATGATATAATGGGAATTTATATTCTCGATTTCGTTCTGGTTCAAGATTAAAGCTTAAACCAAACCAACGAAAATTATAGCTAGTCAGAATATGATACAACAAAATTCATCATTCAGTATCAAAATCTTTTATACTAAGTCACACAATCCGAAATTAAAAGCATTGATAATACTATCGAGTTTAAAAAATTTAATAAACGGATCCAAACTATGTGTATCATTAAATGCAGCAACTGTTAATAATAAGCTAGCATTTTTTGTCGCTGATTCTATCGTACTATAATCCCAATCAATAAATTTTCTTTTCAAATATGGAAATAATTTCTCGGCCAGTGCTAAAGCAATTTCACTTATATCTTTTGCTACATTTAACCAATCACCTTTAGCTGCACTTAAAAGTAGATCCTCAGTCATTGAATCAATGAATGGCAATCCAACCACTAAATGAAGTAGTTCTAATGATGCACCGATGACAGATTGTACCATGTGAAGAACAGTTGTCGTGCAATCTTCCTTTGTTTTAGCACAGCCAACGCCTAAGCATAATATAGGCTGTGTTGTAGTAGGACAAAGTGCCCAACAAACAGGTCCTTCCCCACTGTAGTTAGGAAGACAATATGGATAACACAATAGACCGCTTTGTTCATAGTCAGATGAACAAATCATTGGTACTCCAGCGCCACGGCCATATGTTTTTCGAAGAAATGAACGTTGACAAAAACATCCTAAATTCGTATAATTTTCTGGACAAATGGAGCATCCTCGTGTAAATAGACCACATTCATCGTACCATGGACATTTTCCTGTTGATGAGACAATACTAATACAAAACAAACCCGACGGTGTCATATTATTGTCACACTTTTCCCAACAAACGGGTCCAACTCCGTTATAACCATCTTCACATGGTTTATAACATAAGAGACCGCTTTGTTCACTTTCAGTGCTAGGACATGCATTAAATGGACGACCAGCACCTCTTCCGTAAGTTCTGCGGAAACAAAACGGTTCATAGATTTTAAATAATTCACGCACCACAGTCTCAACATATGGTAACTCATTAGTTTCAGGTAATGATAAATTACTTTGATTTATAGTTGGTAATCGGACAGAAGAAGTAAGTAAAAGGAGAAGAATTTCATGGTTGTTGGATGTTGACTGTTCACCGTATATTAAAATCAAATCATCTAATAGATTGTTATTGGTTGTAATCAATTGCTCTTGTTGTTGATTGAGTACTTCCAGCGTATTGAGAATTAATAGAGACAAAACTGTCACGATAAGGTAAACGAAGAAGAATGTGAAACAAGCTTACGTTGTATTATACCATTCCTGTAATGTTTCTTCGATAAGAGTGACTGGACTTGTATATGATGATTGTGTGCAGTACCAAAATAGTACGAGCTGACATAATACACTTTTCATCTTTAAGATAGAATTATAATTCTGCCTAAATATTTCACTTTTATCTAAATATTACAGTACTCGTTAAAAGTGGCGAGCCCCTGTGACTGAAGGACCATGACTTTGTGTGTTCATAGCTCTTGCTAAATGCTGATCACCTACCAAGTTTGAGCCTCTTTTACTAGATGGTTCGTGAGACAGAAGCGATTTTTATGTCTGTTTCGTGAAATGTCAATAGCTGCTGATCTAAGAAAGATGAAAACTTTTTATTTTTATTAAAATGTAGCCACAACTCTACTCTATCTACAATATAATATTTTGTGAGTTGGCTGTTAATAGTCAGTGAAATACAGTTATTGTTTTATGGGCGAGG